AAGGTCCTGGACGGCGCAGAAGTGCGCCGACGCGAGCAGGGCGCCACCGAAGAGCCGGCGGGGTCGCCCAGAAACCCGCGCGGGACGATCAGCGGACGGAGACGCGCTTGCTGGCGAAGTCGACCCTCGCCTGGTGGGCCCGGGGCCGCGCCGATATGCCCGCGCCCGCCGACTGGCCGCCCTTCGACGTGGGCGCGGCGGGGGCGAGGTCGGCGACGCAGCCGGCGTTGCGCGGGCCGCGGCGGCCAGCTGGAAGGCACCCGTGGCGCGGCGCTCCTGGGCGAGGACGGCCCGGCCAGAGCCGTCGACGCCGCCCAGCTCCAGCTGCCTGAGGTGCGCGCCCCGCCTAGTGACATTCGCCGCCATGATTTCCACGAAGTCGCCGCCGAGCTTTCTGGCCTCGCGGGGCGCCCTCGGGCCGGGGCGGCCCAGGGGCGGCGCGCCGCAGGGGGGCAGCTCGCCGGGCGCTCAAGGATCAGGGGGCCGAAGAAGTCCAGCGGACCTTCGAAGCTCACCTGGCCCGGCACCTTGCCCAGCGGGAACGCCGGAAGGCGCTCGAAGCCCCAGGGGCGAAGTCGCCGAACGAGCAGGCGGCGACCAAGGAGGCCCAGTGCGTGGCCCGTGCCCACTTCGAGGGGCCCTCCGATGGCGGGATCGGGAAGGGCCGCCGCGGGGGGGCACGGCCCCGCTCGCGGAAGCCAGGCCATCGGCCAAACCTCCCACCTCTGGAGACGCTGAGGGGCAGGCAGCGCGGCCGGCAAGGCCCACATTGGAGGCGGCGACGTCGCCCCCGCCAGCGTTGCCGATGTCCGGGAAGAAATTGCAGAGACCCTCGATCATCCGGTTCGCGCGCTGGCGCGGGGGCGCGGCGCCCGTGGCGGGGGGCGAATGCGTGATGAGCCCCTGCTGCGAAGCGACGAAGTCCACAGTGTCGGAATCAGGAACGGACGCCGCTCGGCCACGGAGGCGGCCGCGCCCGACGCGCCGTGGGCGGGGGGCCAGGCGCCTCCAGGCCGCGGGCAAGGCTGGGCCGATGCCGCCCGCTGAGCGCCCAGGGATATCGAAGCTCAAAATCGCCCGCGCGCTCTCGCAGCCGCGCAGCTCTTGATGCGGCAGCAGAGACTCACCCCGAAGATCGCCATCGTGGCCAGGCTCAGCGCAACCACCCCGACAAAGTGGCCCGACGCAGCACACGCGACACTTGGTCGCCTCCCCGCGCTGTCGCTACGCTCGGGGATTCGGCGCAGGCGTCGCGAGCGTGATGCAGCTACATCGGCTGGACAACCGCTGCAAACCCGCCCCGGATCGGAAAGGTACGACTCCCGTTGCATGGCAAGGAGGTGCTCGAACAGCTCGCGGAGCCCCTCCTCGGGGGACCGCTTTCACAGGTGGCCCAGCCAGGCCCTGCCCATGTGGCGCGCCATATGGCGCCTCCTGAAAGCAGCGAGGCAGATCTCGATCGCCATGTCAACCCGCGAAATGGCCAGGTTGTCGCGCCCGAGGCGCCCTCGCGCGGGCCAAAATTTCGAAGCGAGGCTTTGGCGAGGTGCCCGGCCACGCGCGGCGCGCAATGACGGCGCCGGCGCACGCCGCCCGTCGCATCGCCACCCACGGTAGGGACCTCCATCCAATGGCCCGTGTACGGGCGCAAGGAGTGCCGCAGGTCTTCGATCATGTGACTCGCGTGCTGCCGCGCGGGGTCGGCGCCGTTGGCAGAGGGCTCGCGTCCTTGAAAGTATTTGTTAAGCTTTGGTATTTCGATGCGGTCAGCTTAAATGTTCTAGCTCGGGCGCCGCCGTCTCCCGAGATTAAGCCTTCGAGGCCCCAAGCGATTAAATTTCCCCCGGGGCGCGCGCCCGAGCACATTCATGCACAGTAGCAACATCATGTGCTAGCATTCCATAGCATGGCATAGCATGTAATAGCATACCATACCACCATAAACACTAACATGCCATTGCATGCAACAGCTCATCTTCCACCTCCTCACGGGTTCGTCGATGTTTCGACGGCGCGTGCGGCCGCCGATCAGATGCCCCACGGCGTCGCGTACAGTTGCATTGTGTTTGATGTTATAATTTGCTTGTTGGCGTAGTTAATCGGGTTGCTCGGGACATCCCCTGGAAAATAAGTTGCCCCCCAAAGGCCCACGAGAGTCTCCAAATCCTCTTCATTGTCTGCCTTTTCCCCCTTCTCGTAGACTTCCCTATCAACGCTCCATTCCACTAAATAAACGGCCATCGTGGCGACTTATTAAGTTGCTGAGGTTTTATGGGGCAAGGAGAAGCAAATCCAACGTTCAAGTTGAGTGCACCCCTGGCCAGCCCCGCGGGGCTGGGCGCCGCTGCGGCGCCCCTGGCGGAGTCTGGCTCCACGGTAAGCGGTTGCCATTCGGCAAGCGCACAAAGTATAGATGGATTTCAGCGTTGCTGCATGCACATGTTGTCACACTGATAAGAACAGATACTGCACTTGATCATTGCCAAGATGACCACTGGGCGGAGCCGCCTTAATTCCGCCACCCTGTAATTTATGTACAACTTGCACGCGAATTGCGAGCCCCCCCCTCCCCCCCCCCACGGTTGCCCCACCGTGAATACTTGTATTGATTTATGATGAGGGGACAAGGGACGGGAGGGTGTAAGTTAAGCTGCAGGGGGGGAGGTGTTGTTTTGGCCACCTCGGGGGGCGATGACCTACGCTTAGTAGGAACTCACGGCCGAAGCAGCCGATCGCGCTCTATGCGCCCGGGCCCCCTGACTCAGTAGGGGCTGTAGCCGCCGCTTGGTGCCCACGCCGACGACGAGCCCCCTCGAACAGCGCCAACCTGCGGCGGCGCCTGCTGCTGCTTCCACCACGCCCCCTTCCACCACGGATTGAAGGAAACGTCCGCGATGTAGTTCCAGCACCAGATCTTTCGGGGGTGGAGGGAGGGCGGGAGGGAGGGATGGGCCTCGGGGGAGGATCGACGTTCCTCCGCCAGGGCCCATCCCTCCCTCCCGCCATCCAGCCCCCCCCCCCCCTTCCATGATGGCATCCTTCCACCCCGTCAGCTTGAACCTGCGCGGCACGACGGCCAGGCACCTCCAACGTACCTGGCGATCGGCCGACGAGGACGACCGACGAGGACGACCGACGAGGGCGACAATGGGGCACTGGTATGCCTTGCCACAGGTCGTCGCACTCCGCGGGCCACGCAGCCGGTGTGTCGTTTGGGGGGCTCTCCCCTCTCATCATCCCCTCACTCCCTCCTCGCTCCCCCCCTCCCTCCTCCTCTGGGGCGCCGCACGTTGGTGGTGGAGTTCGCCCGCTCCAGGTCGAACTCCTCCGCCATGGCGGATGGTTCAGCAGGGTCCCCGGGTGCCGAGCGCGCGCCCCTTGACTAGGAGGCCTGAACAGATCTGAGCCGTGACGAATGCGGCGGCCGAAGCAGCCGCGGCCGAAGCAGCCTGGGCCTCCATGATGGCCGATGCAGCCACGGCCGAAGGCCCCCCACGTCCATCCATCCCCCATCCCTCCCCCATCATCGCCATCGCTTCGATGCTGCGGCTTCTCGATCTAGAGAGCTACAGGCAGGTGGGCCAATGATGGCTGACTCGGCCTTGTTAGATACCCACTGGGCGACCTACGTAATCACTTCGCCAGAGACATCCCGCGAGTTCTGGCCGCCCACGAAGCCCCCGTTCCAGACGTCCCCCAACTCTGCACAACCAACATTTCGCTTGAGACATCCTCAACAAACTTGTACAAAACAGATGTATCGCTTGGGACGTCCTCACAATTCATTGGCTGCCTCGGCCAAGCCCCCCCCCTGGCTGGTTCGGCCACTGGCCGCCGCGCGCGCCCGGGGCGGATGGATCGGAGAGGGGATGGGTTGGAGAGGGGAGACATGGAGGGATGGATTGGAGAGGAAAGAGGAATGGAAGGATGGATGGAGAGGAAAGAGGAATGGATGGATTGGAGAGGAATTGGAGAGGAATGGATTGGAGACAGAGGAATGGCGATGACGATGGTGATGTTTGACTTCGCGCTAAAGCCGAAGCAGCCGAAGAGCCAATTCGGTCGTGGCCGAAGCAGCCGAAAAGCAGGCCCTAAAGCTTACTCGCATGGGTCGACTGGCGCGTACTCCCCGTCGCTCAGACCGAGCGCGTCGCTGCTCGGTTGGAACGGCCCCATGATCTGCGGCGAAAGGCCCGCGACCAAGCTCTGTATCGTAATGAGGGTCGCCACGAACGTGCGCGCCGCCCTGATCTGGGGGTCGAGGTGGGCGATGATCTGCGCGCGCCACTTCATGATGATCCCGCCCTCCAGAATGTGCGGCCAGTTCTGGTGGATCTGCAGCAATGACTTGTGATCCGCCAGTTGATTGGCTTGGTAGGCCAGCAACTCCTTGCCCTGCTTAAGCTTCTCTGAAAGCTTGCGCAGCATGGACGACGCACGGTTCAGGTGAAGCGTCGCCTGGCCAAGTAGCACCGCTTGCCCTGCGGAGGTCGCAATGTCCTGCCAGTATTTGCAATCGTCGGAGATGTCATCACATGAGATGAGCTGGTTCGGAGCCGCAGGGTTGCAAGTGCTACTGGCAGACCCGGTAGACCGCATCAGCTCTGAGTACATGACTTTAGCGGTGCAGTGCCGAAACAGAGGTGCCGAAACCATCGAGCCGAAACAGCTGATCGTCGGAGGTTCGCTGAAAGTAGATGAATGCCCGACACGTCCCCGTGGGTAGTGCAGATATTAATGGGCGGTTCAATCCTGGTTCTGGGTTACGGTGGTCGGCTGGGCGAATGATGATGACGAGGACGAGGGGGTGGAAGAAGGGGGGGGGGGGATTTCGGATGGGGGGGGCGGAGGAGGACGGGCTGGCGCGACCAAGCGATGGGGCTCGCCCGGGATGGCACGACGGCGCCGCCCAAAACTACGGTTAGGTGCGCCGCCCACGGCGCCCGAAAGTAGTCAAGCGTGGCAGTGATTTTACAGGCTTGGACCCAATTTCAGTTGCAATGCGGCGCATGGGCGCGCCGTTCACGAACGTCTTCGCCCGCGACTCGGCCAAGCCCTGCCAGAAGGTCATCGAGGCTGCGCACAATCCTGGCAAGTTCTTCACAGGCATAACAGAGCGCACCCCTGAAGAGGAAGAGGATACTGACGTCTACGCGTGGACGCCACCGCGCCAGGGTTTAAGCCAGAACTGTCTTCGTCAGGGAGTCAATGGGCCAAAGCAGACTGGCCAGCTTACCAAAAAGGCCATGCAGTACATCAAAAACAAGAAGCGCAGGGTGTCGATCTTCGAGAACGTTTTCACGCTGACCCACAAAAGGCTCAAGCCCGTGCTGGATGGCATCATCAAGGGCTTGATCAGCATCGGCTACACTGTGAACTACAGCGTGCTCGATTCACGCGACTACGGCATTCCACAAAATCGCCGCCGGGTGTTCGTGGTGGCCATCAGGACAGACGCCATCAAACATCCATTCAATTGGCCCGAAATCACCAAGCCGCGCCCCAGCATCAACACGATCTTGGACGCGTGGAAACCCACCGAAATGGCGGGCCGTCTGCCCGCGGTCCAGCGCCAGAAGGATGCGTGCAAGACGGCCTGCAAGGAGTGCTTCGACTTCGGGGCGCCACCCTCGTTCCACGCCCATCCTGGTTGACATCGTCGCTTCGCCTGAATTCGCAGCCTACGGCATCGACGAGGCCAAGACCATCGCCAGGTCAAGGGGCGGAGATGGTGGGCCTTGGATTTTTACGAGGGGGCGCCGCACAACCCCGACTGAGTTGATCAAGCTACAGGGTTTCGAGCTGACTGATATCCCGTGGACGACGCTGAAGATCAGCCAGCGCCAGTTGGGCCAGCTCATCGGCACCGCTGTTTCCGTGAACACGATTGGGGCAATTCTCGAGGAGGCCCTGTGGAGCTCAGGTTTGGTCGAGAAGAAGGTGCCTTTCCCGCGTGGAGTGAAGCATCCGCCCGAGCCACCCCCGCGCAAGCCTTTGTTTTTTTCGTTGTTCCGGTTGCCTCGGCCGAGTGCTGCGCACGCCCAGCTGTGCGGTCAGCCGAATCAGCTCCGACCTGCAGGGGGAGGGTGGGGAAACACACACACACACACGCACACACACACACACACTCGTTATCCAGCATTCGTTCAGAAAGGCTATGTATACTTGTCGGTTGCCGCCCGAGTTTCCATGTGAAGTTTGACCCTCCAAAGTGCAGAGTGCGATTGGACGTTCAGATCTGGCGATAAGGCACTCGGGTTACCACTGAGAGGGGCAGGGGGGGGGGGGGGGGAACATGCAGCGCGCAATTTCTAGCCAACTTTCGTTCTGAAAACTTATGTATACCTGTCGGTTGCCGCCTGACGTTCGCTTACGTGCGAAATTCGACCTCTCCAAGGTGCAAGCGAATGTGATTGGACAGTCAGATCTGGCGATGGATCCCATCGGGTTGCCGTTAAGGGGCGGGTGGGGTGGTGGGGGCGGGGGTGCCCTTGAACAACAAGTAAGTCCTCTGCCGCTCGCCATTTGGGCTCAATTCTTTGTCGCAGCACGTCTGCTTGGAGCAAGTAATGGTCTTCGAGTTGGGGGCTGCACACGACGGCCGCGGCAAGTGGAAACGAAATTATCCAGTATGGGCGAATAGGTCCTCCATAGACCATGCGCAGCCAAAGTTGGGCACGTGGCTTGATAGCAAGTGGGCGAAAGGCTTGGGCGTGGGTTGCTAAATCTGCCGGGCTGCTGGCTTCGCCACGAGCCCTTTCGGTGCGTGCGAAGTTAGATCAAACGGCGCCATGCAAGTTTGCCATTTACAGAAGCACGCTCAGTGTGCCGAGCACAAGGCTGCCGTGGCAGCGTTCCTAGCTGGAAACCTTGATGACGCGGTGTATTCAGTGATGTGCCCGAAGTGGGACGAATTCAAACAGGTTGCCGATGACATCGTTGCAGGCGGAAGTTTGGGCCATGGGACTATTGCGCGTCTGAGAATCCTGTGGTGTTTGAAGGAGGCCTTGTTCGCTGATGACAGAGAGGCTTTAAAGTCAGCTAGAGCGATATCCTTGTTTCGGGATGAGCGAAAAGGTCGGCTGGCTGTGAGATACCGAGCTGCAAATCAGACTTTGGATGAGTTCAGTGGCACTATGGGCCAGGAGAGAGACTTCGGAACTGGTGCCACTAAGATTACGGAAGCTACCTTCATAATCATAGAGCGAATGTGCACTAAGTTCAGTGACTCACCGAGACTCTGTCGTGCAACCCCCACGTTGATGCCGAGCTTGATGGCCCATGTTCGGGAGAGTGTCATGTGCATCACCGTCGACTCAGCTGGAGATGAACTTCTCGCGAGTGAAATGATGCGCAACCAATCACTTGCTCAGACGGAAAGGGCACTCACGCCAAACCTTAAGTTCGTGCTGCGCGACTCAGCGCACGCCTCGCGGCGCATGATTTCGCGACCCTGGAACGCAGACCCATACTTGAGAGATGTAGCGATGATGATGGCACAAGGCCGCAGTTCGGTCGCCAAGCTCGTGCAGAACAGCACCGAGACATCGCGTGTGTTCGCTGGGTATGTCAAGTCTTCACAGAGCTCCGTGGTTACATCCGAGATAAGGAACATGCGAGCCGCATCGCATCGTTTTGAATATTTGTAAAAACCTCTTGGCCGCACTGCTCTCTTCATGCATGCGAGCATCGAGACAGCGATGTGCGTGGCCAACCGCCCGGCCAAGGATGAGCACACCGACAAGGCCAAAGCGTGGCTTGCATGGGTGGACAGCGAACGATGTTTAATGTTTGCGATGATGGCAGACGTGGCTGACGAAGGGATGTGCTTGACGAGACTGCTTGATAATGAAGACGTTGGCACCGCCTGTCTCAATTCAGAAGTGCTCCTGTTCATCGGAAAGGTCGTGTCAATGTTTGGTGAGAGCGAGCGGTGCTTAACTATTTTCGGTTACACTTCGGTCATGATGAACCTCCTCAACGAGTACGTGGTTTGGCACGTCAACGACGACTCTCGGAGCATAGGTTTCGAGCGCGGTGCCCCTGTCGACATTGTCAACAGGTGCATGGAGAGGATGAGGTCTTACGTGGTCCTGGCGCGCGCAGCGCTGGCAGCTGAGTTTCCAAGTTTCGAGATGAGCCAGGCAACCAGGGTTACGTTGATAAGTTGTCGGGGTTTTGTTGCTGCTGGTGTCTTTCGTTTCCCATCGGGCCCCATGCGGGGCCCCAGGGGGTGATCTCAAGAGCAGTGGGGTGTGCGCCATGACCACAGGCATTCCAAGTGTTCGACTTGTCCACCACGCACCCCCGGGCGGATGTGCATGTGCGGCGGATTGCTCAGGCATCGGGTCGCCGCGTTGCCCGCAACGACCGCCGCCCCCCCCCCGTGCCGCGCCCACCCCCGAGAGTTGAGTTCAGCCACGTGTCATGGTCAACGTTGCCCGCGAGACATGCCGGGCGCCTGTTCTGCCAGGCCGCGGACATCAATCCAACTAGGCTGCAGGTTCAGTGGGAACATGGGTGCCCGAGGGCTCGCCAACAACAGCAGAGAGGTCTGTCGAAGAAGGAAGCTTGGAGATATGTGATACAGAAACTAGGGCAGCAGAGACTAGCGCTGCGGCGCGACATCGACGATCTGAGATCAGCTTTGGTTGCATATGTGGCCTTTGGAATCAGCACGTCGGGGGTGGAGCAGAAGTTTAGCCTGGCTGCGCTCAAGTTTAACTGTCGCCAACTCTCCTCAGACGCGTGCAGCGAGGACAGGTTTCTCAATATCGCTCTGGACTTGCCCAATCGTGACCTCAACAAAGTCAATGACAGTGCCCGGCGGATTTGACCTGTGGGCGTCCTGTAGTGAGGAAGTTTCCGCGCATCGACAAAGGGGTTAAGAGACCACGAACAGTGATGAAGGAAGGCGAAGCCGAATTCATTCGTCAGCGCCGCAAGGCTGCGAGGCTCGCTGTTTCGGATACAGCGGCTGGCGATTCGACCAGGGAGGTCGGACCAGGCTCGAACTGGGGTGCCACGCACCAGAAGGAGCTCGACTTCTTGAAGAACAAGCATCGTACCAAACGGTGCATTGCTACTCGGAGAACGTCCTCCTACCACAGGAAGTGACGCATGCTGTTTTCGACGACGCAGCCGCCACACACAAGAAGCAACTTGCTGATCACTTGGCCAGGTCGCGTAAGACTGAGCGCGTGCGATTGGCCGCGCTGGGCACGCCAACGGCCAAGCTCCTAGAGGCTATCAGGGGGAAGCCTGTTTTCGTGGATATACCGTGCAGGTCGCCAGAGGTGGCGGCCGCACTCATCGCGCATCGCTTGAAATCAGTGCGGATGCACGAGGCTGAAGTTTTTGTTGTACAGACACCAGGGCGCGCTGGCACGTTCATTACCGCTGCATCGGCGTTCAAAGGGGGACATGAAGTTACCCCCGGGCTTTTAATTTCAGGCCGTTTTGGCGCTGGGGCCAAAATGTTGCCAACGTACCATTTGAAGAAAGTAACGTTTTTGAGCGCCGAGTTCAGAGACACGCAACGTACGTTCTGCGAGTTTGTACAGCACTTAATCAGGCACACCCCAGGCTGCAAATGGAGGCTTTGCGGGTTTAACTGGCCAGCGTTGAAGAAGGCGCACGCGCCTGGCAACCTCTTCGCATTAGTCTCGCCGCCAGAGGTGGCACAACCTGCCTTTCATAACCATCGGAACACATTCACGGTCGATTCGTTCTTGACGAGAATCAGGTGTGTTTGCATGTCCAGTTCTGTATCGGGCTTGCGGTGATGTTGTGGAAATAATGCTTGGGCATCAATGCCAATCGGTATGAGGTCGAGTGGGTCACACAGTGAGTTGTGAACTTGAGTGTGTTTGAATATGGGTGAGTATGCGCCGTCGCGTTCCGTAGCCATCTTGTGTTCAAGGCTGCCAAAGTATCAGCATTCATTGGCGGATTGTCCAGCCCCACACAAAAATGCAAGACGCAATGTCGGTTTTCCTCAGCGGCCGTTCGGGCGATTACGTCGACCTCGACCAGGACGGCGTCATCCATGCGATTCGCTGTGAAGCAAATGTGAAGATGCGCACATTGGCGGAGGCGGCGCGCATCCTGATTGACGACGACACGTTCCAGCATCACGTGCACAAGGACTTCAGCGACCTGACCCTGATCGCAGCCCAGTGTCCGGGCGCTGACGGCCGCAGCGACATGCTGATCATGCTGACCGAGGAGATCGAGCGCACCCAGCAGATGTGGCGGGCGGCCGAATGGGAGTTTACCACTGGGCTCAAGAAGGAGATGAAGGCCAAATGGGACGAACTCCACGGTAAGCGTCAGGGCGAGTTCAGCGAGAAGTTCGACCAGGGCGAGTTCCGCAGGGCGGCGAAGCCTTCGGCTTCGCGATGGCAGCTGGCGCCGACTGGGTCGCCACGTCTGCCGCAGCCTACCCGCCCATTGAGGGCCGCAGCCGTTCGCCGCCGAGCCGTGCACGTACGCGCGATGAGGGGCTGGATTGTTCTGACACGTTGGATCCGATGCCGCTTTCGGACGATGACACGCAGAAGACGTTGCCATTGAGGGGCCCCCGGGAGTCCGACGATTCAGATAAGAATTAGTGCTTCGTCGTGGGATCGCGGGATTTCTGCGGCTGCTTCGGCCGCGGCTCTCTGGAGCGCAAAGGAAAAAGCATAATTCCTCCTCCTCATCCTCATCCTCCGCATCCCCCATCCCTCCTACGCCCTCCCTTTCAACCGCCATCTCCTCCCTCCACGACGCGTGCGCGCTCCACCAGTCCCCTGACAGTTGAGCGACAACCGACATGGTTGGGGGGGTGCCCCTCCCCCGTGGCTCCGAGACGGCCCCTGCGATAGCCTGAAGCGTCGCCATCAGCATTCAAACGCTCGTCGCGGCCCCAATGGTTGGCCCAATCATGATCTACGCGCTCCTCATTGTCATTGCATCGTCATTCGCCCGCCCGTTCCAGCTCAGGTTCGCCCGGGCCCAACGATTGCCGCCGCGACCAACCGCATGGCGGCCGACGACGGCGGCGCCAACATTATCTACACCTTGGCAATGGCCATCCTCGTCGGCGGCGCAGTCCAGAGCGCGATTGCGATATGGCTCTGGGAGCGGCTGTGCCCGAAACGTCCGACGCCGACTGACGCCGCGACCATCCACGCGGCGGTGCCGACGCCGACCGCCGCCATCCACATGGCGGCGCCGCCGCCGACAGCGACGCCGACGCCAACGGCGCCGACCGACGCCACGGTGCCACCGCCGACGCCAGCGGCGCCGACGCAGATGTTGACGACGCGAACGGTATCTACGCAGAGCCAAACCACCTACACATGGTGGTGGAGTGAGCCTAGGTTCATGCCGCTCCCGGAGAACCCTCACGGCGTAGGGCTGATCGACCCTTTTTGGAATCCGCGCCGTGGCTGACCCACGGCGGAATTTGCATGTGCGTTGGGAATTAACGCATCGGCTGCTTCGGCCGTAGCATTGAAAGAAAAGAAACATCGTCATCGCAACCTCCATCTTCGCTCTCTCGTTCCTCCGTCTCGACTTCCCATTCCATCATGCGTCCTTCTGCCCCTGCCATCCCTCCCCTGCGATGCGAGATATCATTGGTGGTCCACTCCCCCTCCTACTGGGCCCTCTCCCTCCTCCTCAGTGAGATGCTTCGCCGAGGCCCGAGAAGATAAGTTCAGCACGGGTGCCCCAGAAGGACCCATGCTATATGTTCAGCCATGATAGGCTCAGCATGGAGGCCCGAAAATGACCCATTATAGGTTCAGCAAGGAGGCCCAAACATTACCCATTATGGGTTCAGCTTGAAAGGGCCCCCCTCCTCATGCTTTGAATGTACTCTCCTCATCATCAACACCCCCTGCTCCAACGCGCCCCGGGCCACCCCAACTCGGGCGTGGGCGGGCCATTGGCTGCTTCGGCCGCGCCGCTCTCATCCTCTCTTCTCCTCCTCCGTAGCCAGTTTCTGGCTCAATTTGAACGGGCTCCACTCGCGTTTAATTGCATGACACCGATGAACGGGCCGCCCCATGACTGGGGCATCGTGCGCGGCGCAAATGGCGTTCGATACCATGTGGTCGGGCCCCGCGGCGGGCCCTGCACCTCCCGCCCGATATCGACGCCGAGGGAGCCGGGTGGCCCGACGCCTTCCGACGAGGACGCGGCTCAAGCCATGAAGATCCACCGGGAAGTCGACAAGGCGCATGCGATGGCGAAGGACACGGTCAGCCACATGAGCGGGATTGGTGCCATGGCCAAGATGATGGGGCAGATGTTGACGGCGCGCCGGAAGATGCTCTTCATTACCAAGAATGTCTTGCTTGGGTATGGTGATCTGCGTTATGCTGCCCCGCTCCGCATTTTGCCGCCCTCGGCTTATCGGTTGCGGGCCAGGCTGATCAGGGGGCCAGCTGCCCAAATGGACCACATCGCGGCGATGTTGATCCAGATCAAGCTTCTTCAGAGGATTGCGGAAGATCCCGGTGACGCCGCAGATTCTGCGTTGGGCCCGTGGGCCGACGATGCCGACGCCGACGCCCCGTGCGCCTCTGAGGCGTAGCCCGCCGCGGCGCCAGGCAGTAGCTGACTGCGACGCTAATCGGCTGCTTCGGCCGAGATAGGTTTGGAACAAATATGTATCCTCCTCCGCTCCCCTCCTCCTCCTCCTCTCAATCCTGCTATCCTTCCTCCAGCCTCCGCTTCATCGTTTTGACAAGGAACGTGTCATGCAGTCCTCGAAACGTTACGCGGCGGCTGGGCCATGATCACTCTCGCTGCCCAGTCCGCCAGCTGTGTCTGCAATGCCAGGCTACCTCCGCTGATAAAGGACTCCGAGGGCCTCGGGCAAAAGCTCTTGGGCCCCCCCCCCTCTCCGCTGTCGTTGGGGATCAATGAGGCATCTATTCGAAGCAGAGAACACAATCGCGCACAAGTCTCTTATGCACGTGGAAGTGAAACAAACGACCCGCTCCGCAGTTCGCGATGATTAGACCAACCGATCACTGCGGCAGGCGGGCGCGCGGGCATGGCCGAAGCAGCCGATGGAATCGTGCGATGCGGCAACCCTTCCCCCCCTCCCCGTGAACCTTCCTCACCGCGTTTGCACCCCTTTGTCCTGGTTGTCCCAATCGCTGCAGTAGGCGTGGACCATCTTTACTAACATGTATGTGTCGATCTTCGGGTCGAATTCCAAACGAAAATAGACTCTCGCCAACTTTACCCATTGCCCCCTGTCGTACGCAGTACGATCCCATTGTACAAACCTCAAGCGTTCGGGGGGTGTTCGGCCCACCTGAGGGATCCCATTATCATATGTGTAACGGGCGCACGATGGCAGCCGGGGGGGAGGAAGTTCCTCCCCCATGGCGACTTGAACCTGACTGCTATGATATTGTGAGATGATATGCAATGCTACTGCTTATCACGCATGCGTGTGCTCGGGCACGCGCTGCGGGGGGGGGGGGGAATGCAATCGGCCGGGGCCTCGAAAAGGACCCCTCGGGCGACGCGCATGCGTTGCAGGCTTGCGGTGTCGATGCGGCGTCGCACTTTGAAGCGTAGTGCACTCGACGCTGCATTATCGCCATCATCGCCACGTTAATGAATGATGTGTTGATATGGGAAGTAGAGAAGGATGGGGGAGGGAACGTGACGGGGGGAGCTCGGTGCCTCTTGGCGGACACTTAAGTTTGAGGGGGGGTCCCGAGCACTTAACTTAATTTGGCCTGCCATCCAAATATAAACAACCACATTTGTTTTTTCCCCACATCCAAAGTGGGGTTCTTGTTCCCCACATCCAAAGTGGGGTTCTTGTTTTCTCTGCACACCCCCGCGCAGGAGAGAGATCTCACTCACCCCCTCTTCTCCTCGCACTCATTCACACACACATCATCATCACTCGCACTCTCTCACACGCTCACGAACATCATCGTCATCATCGGTATCGGCATCATCCTCATTCAAACATCATCATCGCCACCACCACCCACAATCAATCATCATCCTCTTCACCACTCATCTTCACCACCACTCATCATCCTCATCCTCATCATCGTTGAGTAAAGTGTGAGGAAGTCTCAGGCGGGAGCCCCCTCCCTATGGGGCCCGCAGATCATGTTGGTAATCCGAGCGGGTCATCGGAACCCTGTAACTGTCGTCACTTTTGGGCTCCCCAGGCCTGAAAATGGAGGAAGTCTCAGGCGGGAGCCTCGTCTGTGAGTGAATTGGGAGGAAGTCTCAGGCGGGAGCTCCCTCCCTATGGGGCCCGCAGATCATGTTGGTAATCCGAGCGGGTCATCGGAACCCTGTAACTGTCGTCACTTTTGGGCTCTCAAGCCTGAATTTGGAGGAAGTCTCAGGCGGGAGCCTCGTCTGTGAGTGAATTGTGAGGAAGTCTCAGGCGGGAGCCCCCTCCCTATGGGGCCCGCAGATCATGTTGGTAATCCGAGCGGGTCATCGGAACCCTGTAACTGTCGTCACTTTTGGGCTCCTCAAGCCTGAATATGGAGGAAGTCTCAGGCGGGAGCCTCGTCTGTGAGTGAATTCTGAGGAAGGCTCAGGCGGGAGCCCCCTCCCTATGGGGCCCGCAGATCATGTTGGTAATCCGAGCGGGTCATCGGAACCCTGTAACTGTCGTCACTTTTGGGCTCGTCAAGCCTGAATTTGGAGGAAGTCTCAGGCGGGAGCCTCGTCTGTGAGTGAATTGTGAGGAAGTCTCAGGCGGGAGCCCCCTCCCTATGGGGCCCGCAGATCATGTTGGTAATCCGAGCGGGTCATCGGAACCCTGTAACTGTCGTCACTTTTGGGCTCGTCAAGCCTGAATTTGGAGGAAGTCTCAGGCGGGAGCCTCGTCTGTGAGTGAATTGTGAGGAAGTCTCAGGCGGGAGCCCCCTCCCTATGGGGCCCGCAGATCATGTTGGTAATCCGAGCGGGTCATCGGAACCCTGTAACTGTCGTCACTTTTGGGCTCCTCAAGCCTGAATATGGAGGAAGTCTCAGGCGGGAGCCTCGTCTGTGAGTGAACTGCGAGGAAGTCTCAGGCGGGAGCCCCCTCCCTATGGGGCCCGCAGATCATGTTGGTAATCCGAGCAGGTCATCCAAAACCTGTAACTGTCGTCAATGTTGGGTTCTCGCGCTGCCAGAACGCAGTTCCCAGGCCACACTTTGGATGCAACAAGGAAGTTTTTGGGCTCCTCAGGTCGCCGAGGTGCTGCGACAGGGCGCCGAAGGCGCCGACGACGACGGCCAGGCCGAGGCGCGGGCGCGGAGCTTGCTGATGTTCAGGCCCAGCGAAAGGGAGTTCACATGGCAGAGCTCGGGGGCGCACAGCGTGCGCCGCTCGGGGTTCACCCTGACGCACGCGTCCTACCTGACCTCCACGCTGTCGCAGGGCCAGACGCTGCGCAAGGGCGTCACCATCGACTGCGCGAGAGACGAGGACGCTGGCCGCACGGGCATGTCGGACGAGCAGTGGTGGCTGCACCTCTACGTCATGTTCTCCCGCGCCACGTGCATGCGGAACATGCTGATCCTGCGGCCGCCGCCGCGAGAGTTCCTGGAGTGCGGGCCGCCGGCGTCCCTGCGGAAGGCGCTCCTGGAGTTCGACAAGAGAACGGTTTTGTCCAGGGCGGAGGCGAAGCAGCTCGCGGCAGAGCTGGGCTTCGTGCTGCCTTCCGCCTGAGCGCGGCTGCGCCTCGCTCGAAGCCCGCGGGGTTGTCCCAACGGCTTGGTCTTGCGCGCCAACGGCTCGCGGGGTTGTCCCGACAGCCTGGCCCGCGGGGTTGTCCCAACGGCTGCGCGACGTGACCTGTAGAGAACGCGCCTGTGCTGGCCGTGGCGGCGACGGCGCCGAGGAACATCGACGTGCGCGCTCATGCAACAGGAAGGGGAGGAGGTGGCGGGGCGCGGAACAAACAGGGGGGCGAGGATGGGGACAACGTAAGGAGTGGAAGGGGGGCCCGCGCCAAGGCGAGAGGAAATATACGCAGAAGAGACAGCCAGGACGCCTCACCAACCACGAGGACGACGGTGATGGCTTTTTCCAGATTCGCCCAGAGGATTCTTATGTGGGGTTCTTCCGTCGGAGTAATTTTCTCTGCACACCCCCGCGCAGGAGAGAGATCTCACTCACCCCCTCTTCTCCTCGCACTCATTCACACACACATCATCATCACTCGCACTCTCTCACACGCTCACGAACATCATCGTCATCATCGGTATCGGCATCATCCTCATTCAAACATCATCATCGCCACCACCACCCACAATCAATCATCATCCTCTTCACCACTCATCTTCACCACCACTCATCATCCTCATCCTCATCATCGTTGAGTAAAGTGTGAGGAAGTCTCAGGCGGGAGCCCCCTCCCTATGGGGCCCGCAGATCATGTTGGTAATCCGAGCGGGTCATCGGAACCCTGTAACTGTCGTCACTTTTGGGCTCCCCAGGCCTGAAAATGGAGGAAGTCTCAGGCGGGAGCCTCGTCTGTGAGTGAATTGGGAGGAAGTCTCAGGCGGGAGCTCCCTCCCTATGGGGCCCGCAGATCATGTTGGTAATCCGAGCGGGTCATCGGAACCCTGTAACTGTCGTCACTTTTGGGCTCCTCAAGCCTGAATATGGAGGAAGTCTCAGGCGGGAGCCTCGTCTGTGAGTGAATTCTGAGGAAGGCTCAGGCGGGAGCCCCCTCCCTATGGGGCCCGCAGATCATGTTGGTAATCCGAGCGGGTCATCGGAACCCTGTAACTGTCGTCACTTTTGGGCTCGTCAAGCCTGAATTTGGAGGAAGTCTCTGGCGGGAGCCTCGTCTTTGAGTGAATTGTGAAGAAGTCTCAGGCGGGAGCCCCCTCCCTATGGGGCCCGCAGATCATGTTGGTAATCCGAGCGGGTCATCGGAACCCTGTAACTGTCGTCACTTTTGGGCTCCTCAAGCCTGAATATGGAGGAAGTCTCAGGCGGGAGCCTCGTCTGTGAGTGAATTGTGAGGAAGTCTCAGGCGGGAGCCCCCTCCCTATGGGGCCCGCAGATCATGTTGGTAATCCGAGCGGGTCATCGGAACCCTGTAACTGTCGTCACTTTTGGGCTCGTCAAGCCTGAATTTGGAGGAAGTCTCTGGCGGGAGCCTCGTCTTTGAGTGAATTGTGAAGAAGTCTCAGGCGGGAGCCCCCTCCCTATGGGGCCCGCAGATCATGTTGGTAATCCGAGCGGGTCATCGGAACCCTGTAACTGTCGTCACTTTTGGGCTCCTCAAGCCTGAATATGGAGGAAGTCTCAGGCGGGAGCCTCGTCTGTGAGTGAACTGCGAGGAAGTCTCAGGCGGGAGCCCCCTCCCTATGGGGCCCGCAGATCATGTTGGTAATCCGAGCAGGTCATCCAAAACCTGTAACTGTCGTCAATGTTGGGTTCTCGCGCTGCCAGAACGCAGTTCCCAGGCCACACTTTGGATGCAACAAGGAAGTTTTTGGGCTCCTCAGGTCGCCGAGGTGCTGCGACAGGGCGCCGAAGGCGCCGACGACGACGGCCAGGCCGAGGCGCGGGCGCGGAGCTTGCTGATGTTCAGGCCCAGCGAAAGGGAGTTCACATGGCAGAGCTCGGGGGCGCACAGCGTGCGCCGCTCGGGGTTCACCCTGACGCACGCGTCCTACCTGACCTCCACGCTGTCGCAGGGCCAGACGCTGCGCAAGGGCGTCACCATCGACTGCGCGAGAGACGAGGACGCTGGCCGCACGGGCATGTCGGACGAGCAGTGGTGGCTGCACCTCTACGTCATGTTCTCCCGCGCCACGTGCATGCGGAACATGCTGATCCTGCGGCCGCCGCCGCGAGAGTTCCTGGAGTGCGGGCCGCCGGCGTCCCTGCGGAAGGCGCTCCTGGAGTTCGACAAGAGAACGGTTTTGTCCAGGGCGGAGGCGAAGCAGCTCGCGGCAGAGCTGGGCTTCGTGCTGCCTTCCGCCTGAGCGCGGCTGCGCCTCGCTCGAAGCCCGCGGGGTTGTCCCAACGGCTTGGTCTTGCGCGCCAACGGCTCGCGGGGTTGTCCCGACAGCCTGGCCCGCGGGGTTGTCCCAACGGCTGCGCGACGTGACCTGTAGAGAACGCGCCTGTGCTGGCCGTGGCGGCGACGGCGCCGAGGAACATCGACATGCGCGCTCATGCAACAGGAAGGGGAGGAGGTGGCGGGGCGCGGAACAAACAGGGGGGCGAGGATGGGGACAACGTAAGGAGTGGAAGGGGGGCCCGCGCCAAGGCGAGAGGAAATATACGCAGAAGAGACAGCCAGGACGCCTCACCAACCACGAGGACGACGGTGATGGCTTTTTCCAGATTCGCCCAGAGGATTCTTATGTGGGGTTCTTCCGTCGGAGTAATTATTGAAACCGATTGTCGACCACATAGAAATGCCATTTTTTCAAAAATACGCTCAAATCAAGGTAAGATTATTACATCAGGAGCTCGAGCTGCAAGGCGACCAAGTCTGCGGGGTCAAAATTGACCGCTGCTGCCAGCCAAGCGCGAGGGCGGAGTCGGGGCCGTCGCCGTCGCAGGGGAGGCCTCCGCCGTCGCAGGGGAAGCCGCCGCCGACGGGCGCGTCAAAGCTGCGGCGACTGCGCGGCTGTCTCCGCGGCCCCGCTAGCACCGCGGCGCACGGTGGCGACTCGAGCACCCTTCCCCGCGGAGGCCGCCCCTCCGGCGGCGACAGCGGCGGCGGCCAGGCGGTTGTGCACAGCCTCCAGGACGTCGACGGCGGCGGCGACCGAACCTGGAGCTGCAGCCGCGCCACGGGCCCCTGCAGCGGGGGCGGGCGCGGCATTCCCATCGCTGGGCGCGACGGCGCCCGCCGCGTGCACAGGGGGCGCCGCGGCCGCGGCCGCGCGGCGGCGGCGGGGGGCGACTCCCCCCTGGCCGCCGCGGGGGGCACCTCGTTTTCCGCGCGCCGCTTGCCAGTCTTGAGGCGCTCGATCTGCTCGCTGCATGGCCGCTCCAGCGCCTGCGCCTCCGTCCGGAAGTGGCCGAATGCCTCGGGCGCCACGGCGGCGAACTCGGCCTGGAGCTCCTCGCGCCGCCGCAAGGCCCCTTGCCCATCGGCATCCTCGACGACGCAGTCCTCGCGGGTCACGAGCCCGAACTGGCCCTCGTCGCCCAGCGCCCAGGCCGCCTGGCCTTTCAGTCCGCCGAGATGCTGAGGATAAGAAACGCGACCTCGGACGTCCTGGCGGGCGCCGCCGCGGTGGCGATTGTCTGCGCCGCCGCGGTGCACGCTGCGCGTCGAGGGCCGCGGCGGCCGTTTCCCGAGCACTGCCAGCCTCGTCGGCCGACGATGGCTTGGCCGAGCGCCCGGCGCGGAGCTCCTCCAGCTGGCGTCTGCACTTGGCCTCGCCCGGCCCGTCACCCGACGGGTGGAGCAGCACCACCAGCGGGACTAGCTTGGCCTCCTCGGGGCCGGCGTCGGGGGCCAAGGCCGCAGCGCTGGCGTCGATGCGGACGCGCTGGCGCCTTGGCTGCTGGCGCGCGGGGCCGGGCCTCCGCCTGCGCCACCGCGGACGCGCGGGGGGCGGGCGTCGCCTTCGCCACCGCCAGCGCCTGGGGCCTCGCACCACGGCGGCCCGCGAGGGAGTTGCCGCGCCCGCGAACGCGGGGGGGCGCGTTGATGGGGCGAGCGCTGAGTGGGATCGAGCCGATGCGCCGCGCGGCGCACTCGGCCCTCTTCGGTCATGCGGCTCGCTGCTCTCTGACCGTCGACCTTTGGATTTCGCCTGCCGCCCCCTGGTCTGTCGATCCCGCTCTCGCCTACGCCGCGGGGCCGATCCACGCGGTGGCACAGGCGGCCCAGGCATTCGATTCGATTGCGCGGCTGCTCTTCGCAGTTGGTTCAGCATGCGTCTGGGCCCTGGTCCGCGGCCCGATCTCTGCTGCCGCCGCCTGCTGCCGTCGGGTCGGGTGGGAGCTCGGCCCAGGGGCGTGCACTTTAGCGCCCCGGGGCGGTTATCGGTTAGACCTCGCGGCCGCGCGCCCGTGACTTGGCTTTGTTCTTAGCCCTTAGCGCGTCAAAAGACTGAAGATTGGCTGCTGGATCGAGCTCAGCAGCGCGGCGAGTTCATGCCAGGCCCCTCTAATCGCCTCTACCTCCCCTTCCGCCGCCTATGCGCAGGGCTGCGCCCCGCGTCTTCTTGCGACTGTGTTACGACTTGTGTGATCATGTCCAGGAGTTTCGTCGCGGTCACGTGGCCGATCCGATTTGCGCCCCGCGCGCCCAGGCCAGCGCGCGCCCTGGCACTTGTTCGACCTACCTCGGTCTCGGGGCAGTGAGTTGCCACCTGTGCCTTCGTTCGGGACTGCAGCCTGCCCCCCCCCCTGCCCCCCCTCCGCTCCGACCTGGGGGGGGGGGGGGGGCGCCCCGCTTGGGCTTTGGGGGAGCGACGTGGTTCCTGATCCTCGGCCCTGGCCCCCTGGCCCTTCCCCCCCCCCCCCCCCCCGTCGTCAAAGGACTCGAGCGGCCTGCGGACGGTGCCCTGGGACGCGAAGCTGTCGGTGACGACGCCTGCGCGGCGCCGTTTCAGCGCGATTCGTGCTTCCACCGCGCAGGGCGGTGCGTCACGCAGGTGGGCGTGTCGGGCGCCGCGCGGCCCCCTGCCTGGCCCGCGCCAGACCTCCGACTTGGCGGAGGCGTTTACCCTGCCGATGTATCCCGCGCAGGTCTTGCTTGGGCCCTTTCGCTTTGTTGTATTTTGCGATCGGGTTATCTCGAGCATCGCGCGCTGCCGCGCCGAGGCCGCGGGCGCCCGCTGCGAGGCTTCCGGCCAGTGGACTCGGAGATGGGATCGGATGGGCCACGCGGGGGACGGGGGGGGGCGGGGTCGAGGTTTTCATTGTCAATGGCCGCGCCCGCCGTTGCCGCGATGGCGACGTGGATCGGGGCGCGGTCAACGCTGGGGCAATCACTTGGCCAACCAGGGTGCGCGCGTGGCGAGGTTCCTGGGCCGCGCCGCGCAGGCCACGGGGCCCCGCTCGCAGGCGGCACCAAGGCTAGGCCACCTGCGGCGCGCGAAGCAGCGTGGGCGGATCCCTGCCTTGGCGGCGGACACGTCGCAGCCTCTTGTTTCGCACAAGCCCGTTCAGTGCGACGCGGGCTTCAGATGCGCTAGCAGTTTCCGCGTCGTTCGTTCGTGCGCGCGACACGTTTGCTCCTGCCGAGTGTGCCCCTGGCGGAGGCCATCGGGCATGGGGCGTGGGACGTGTTGTTTTCTTCGCCCGTTGGGGCGCGCGCTCCAGCTCAAATGCGCAGTTGCTGGCGCTCCTTGCTGCGGTGGGGTCCCGTCCCAGACCCACCCGCGGCTGGGCCGTCTGTGGGCGGGCTCCCACCCTCGTTCGGGCGTCCCGCTGCAGGCCGGCGACAGGTGACATTTGAAGCCGCGGTCTTTCGGCGAGTCTGCTGGTGGAGGGCGAACGCATCTAAGGGCCCTAGCTTCCTGCCCCTGCCCGCTGGTATTTCCGTGCGGGAGTTTTTTTCTAGTGTATGCCCTTGCCCGAGCCTGCTTGCGCCGCCGCGCACGCCTTGCAGTTGCACCTCGATAAGCTCCGTCTCCGCCTCCCCGTGCTCACCCTCCGCTCGCCACCTCCTCCTCCTCCTGCTCCCATTCCTTGCTCCCGTTCGCATTCGCGCAGGGCGAGCGCAGCTCTGCTCACCTCCCCAGGGATCGCCCGAGAGGGGCGCGCCCCCCCCTTCCTGTTTTTCCTCGCACACAGGATTGGTTCGAATCGGTTTTGCTTCGAATTGATGTTTGCATGCAGGATCGTTTCGAATCGGTTTTCCTTCGAATTTGTTTTCTCGCACACAGCATCATTCGGGTTGGTTTTGAGGAACGCATTTTCTTACAGTCGGGACGCTCTCGGCCCCTCCAGCAAACATGGTGCTGCCGCTGCAACGCTGGCCTCATTTCAGAGAGCGCGCTGTCCCCCCGTCGTTCAGACGGGCGCTCCAGCCCCAGCGTGGACATTTGTTTTCTCGATCCGAGTGTTTCCTCTTCGTTGTCGCCTCGCTTTTTTCTCCTCCGTGTTTCCCTGGTCCTCTTGCTCTTCCCACTCCGACTCTTGTTCCTGCTGTTGGTCGGCCTCGTTCTCCTCCTCCCTCCTCTTCCTGTTTCTCCTCCTCCTCTCGCTCATTCGCCACTTCCTCCTCCTCGAAGTAAGTAAGCATTTTCCTTTTTTCCGACTGCGTATATCCCGAGGGGGTCTTTCTTCGGGGTCCCAGGTCTGCTATGACACGCCGCCGCGGATAGAAGACACATCAACGCAGTAAGAATTTATGGGTGGGAGGGGTAGGATGTCAGATATGGCGCGAGCGCACCTAGGATGCCTCCTGCCCCCCCTCCTCCCTCCTCGTCCTCTTCGCCCGACCTCCATCCCCTTTCTCCTCCCCTCACCGTCCTCCTCCTCATCATCATCATCATCATCATCATCATCATCATCATCATCATCATCATCATCATCATCATCATAATCATCATCAGCATCATCATCATCATCATCATCATCATCATCATCATCATCATCATCATCATCATCATCATCATCATCATCGTCAGCAGCATCGTCATTGTCGCACGGGGTGCTTCCCCCCTTGTGTCAAGTACAGGGGACTTCCCTGAGCCTCCCCTCATGGTTGTGTGCATGTCGGGGGAGGGTGGGTCCACAGTCGGCATGCCATGAGATATCACAATAATGTGGGTGGATTTGCACGGCGTGCGGAAACTTCGGGCAGCATCAGTTCAGAGCTCTCAGTCAGCCGTGTGATCCCGCCACCGTTTCCAAGAAGAGAAGAGAGTAGTTGAGCCGAGTTGAGCGAGGTCTCGCTCCCAAGTAGGCCAGTCGAAGTTGCTTTGCAATCGTTCCAGATCCGAAGCCGAACCCTCCTCGCTTTTCTTGCCCCTCCGCTCCCCCGCCCCCCCCCCGCCTGGCCGAGGTCTGCAGCGCCTCCGCCGAAGGCGCCGAGCTCGCGCCGCCGCCGCCTGCCCTCGGGGTTTGGCCCTCGGGGGCGACGCTGCGGGGGGGAGGACTGGCTCAGGCTTTCGAGGTTCGAGGCGTTTCCATCTGTCTTCGTCGTGCAGTCGGCCCGGATGAGTAGATCGACCCTGCCAAATTCTCGGCCGCTTAGATGGGGTCCGAGTAGATGGGGTCAGGGGATCGCGCCGCATCGCCGATGCATCGACGATGCGGTTCGATCTGGAGACTTCGTTTCCCCACGCCGACGTCGCCGATGCATCGCGGATGTATCGTTTATGCATCGGCGATGCATTGGCGATGCAGCGCGATCTTTCGACCCCATCCATCCGGACCTCATCTCGGAGGCCTCTGCAAATCAAGGGTACCCTTGTGCCTTGTGTCTCGCGACCTATGCCCCCTACATTCCCATGACAGTGTGGCCCTCGAGAGAGTCTTGTGTCCTTTCGCGTGTCCTGTCCAACGAAGGCCGAGTGTATCTCGGCGGTCCTCCAGCCTCCGAGTGCTTTCCAACAGTTGCGCCTCGCCGAGGGCGTTCCGGGGGTGCTCGGATCGTCTCGAACGGCCGCAAGAGGCCCGAGTGGCCTCGGCCGACCGCTTTACTGCTCGACGCGCACACACTTACGCACACCACACTGTCCGAAATCGATGCAGCTCGAAACCACTGTGCACGGAGCAACAGGAGCAGCGAAGTACGGGTGACGTCATATTTCACGTCACCAAGCATATCGCGTTTGATCAGTTCAGAAGGGCACTATTTGTCGCAGCCGTCACCACCAGCAAGCCTCATCTCATGGTCATTCCTAGTGTACGCGGCGACAATGGTCTTGGTGCCATGGGGCGCGGCATGTTGCACAGCAGTTGATTGGTCTGGATCGACTGATTCGGCGCAATATGCGTGCCGCCATCGGTGCCTGCGCAGAGCAACACTTGAGGTCCTCGGAGGTTTGCCTAGCGCGATGAGGCGCCATGCGAAGTGTACCAATCAGGGCGGACGCTGTGGCGTTCTTAACTTCACACGCGCACTGCTTCTTAGGTTGACTACGCCCTGTGAGTTCACACGGACGTGATGGAGTTCTCGATTTACCAACGACAGTGCGTACCGCATCGGAAGTCTTCCCAATTCTGCACCTCTGGCCTCGCAAAGCCGAATGCTGTTGAGGATTCCCCCCATTCGGCCTCAAAGTTCTTGAATGCTTCAAGTGTTTCGCGTCTCTCACCTGTGAGTTTTTCAGTGTCGCATGGTGCTGGCGCTTTCGAGCCCATTTATCTTTATTGTTTAGTGCTTCGAATAATTTGCATCCTTGTGTTATGTTCCGCTTGGCCCGACCCGAACACGAAAGCATTGCAGCTGTTGTTTCTGATGACGATGAGGGCGATGAGGATGTTGAGGATGTTATGGATGATGATGATGCTGAAGATGATGGTTTTGGTGCTGATAATGATGATGATTGTGGTGCTGATGGTGATGATGTTTACATTTATGGTAATGATGATGTTGCTGATGATGATGGTGATGATGCTGATGACGGTGGTGGTGATGGTGGTAGTGGTCGTGATGATGACGATGCTTATGATGATGATGACGATCATGTTGACGTTGATGTTGACGATTATGAGGAGGAGGAGGACAAAGATACATCGGAAGGGGAATGGAACATGACGAGCATGGTTCAGTCGTTGATGATGGTGATGATGATGCTGATGATGATGCTGATGAACATGATGATGGTGGTAATGATGATGATGGTGATGACGACGGCGACGACGACGTTGATGGCGGTGATGATGATTATGATGATGCTGATGATGCTGTTGATGATGATGCTGGTGATGCTAATGATTATGATGATGGTTATGATGAAGACGATGACAATGAATATTATTATTATTATTATTATGATGCTGATGTTGATGATGATGCTGATGATGATGATGCTGATACTGGTGATGATATCGATGACGACGATGATGCTATTATGATGATGCTGAAGATGATGATGATGATCATAATGATTGTGATGAAGATGATGATGATGATGATGACGATGATGATGAAGATGATGATGCTAATGATGATGATGATGATGATGATGATGATGATGATGATGATGATGATGATGATGATGATGATGATGATGATGATGATGATGATGATGATGATGGTGGTTATGGTGATGATGATGAGGATGATATTGATGATGATCATGATGATGATGATGATGATGATCATGATGATGATGATGCTGATGATGATGATGATGATGATGATGATGATGATGATGATGATGATGATGATGGTGCGACTTGCTCACGCGGGCCTAGGGCCCAGCAGAGCGTGCTGGAACGCTCTCAAAGCGTGCCCGAACTGGAACTGACCGCGTTGCCCGAAGAATCCTCCATGCCCGCCGGCTCCCAGAGATTCCCGATTCTTCTTCGTCTGGACGTGTCCTCATCCCGCCGTCGTCTTCGAATGACGATCGGCATCCTGAGCCTCGGTTGATCCAGCTCCCCCCGCCTGCGGCGCCCAGGCATTGAGGGCATAGTGGAGATCACCTTCCAAGAGCGGGCCAGACGCCCCCCCCCGCGCGCGTTTTCCGCTGGCCAGGGGGGGGTGACAGGTGACACGAGGGTTAAGAGCGAGCCTATTTTTGGAGGGTACCCCCCGTATACTTCGTGCTTTGGCTCTCCATCCTGGGAATGTTCTTCGTCTGGGGTATCTCCACGGGGCCTGTGGGCCTTCGGCGACGGGCTCGCAATCTTGACCTGCGTTTCTGTGGCAACGATTCATCCCCCCTCTTTTTCCCACAGCGTGTCGCAACCAATATCCGCTTATCTCCATACATCTACATACACACACATTGTATGCATGCGTGCATGTCTGATGCATGTTTGTGTGTCTGTCTGTCTGTCTGTCTGTCTGTCTGTCTGTCTGTCTGCATGCATGCATGCATGCATGCATGCATGCATGTATGGATGTGTGTATGCATGTATGTATGTATGTATGTATGTATGTATGCATGCATGCATGCATGCATGCATGTATGTATGTATGTATGTATGTATGTATGTATGTATGTATGTATGTATGTATGTATGTATGTATGTATGTATGTATGTATGTATGTGTGTGTATGTATGTATGTATGTATGTATGTATGTATGTATGTATGTATGCATGTCTGTGTGCTTGTCTGTCTGCCTGTCTGCCTGTCTGTCTGAATTTGTATATGCATGCTTGCATGTCTGTATGTAAGTATATGATACAAGCATGTACCTACAAAACAGTTGCACCGCGCTCTGCACCGCGCTACCTAATGTGCAGCCGCGTTTACGCTTGCACGTACGGGCATGTGTACGGCATGTTCCTGGCGTGTGCACGGCATGTTCTACGGGCCTCCAGGTTTTGGGGTTTTGGTTCCTATCTTCGGACTTGTGCGGCCCGTTTGGTCTAGGCAGGGTTGTTCTGATTTGGGGGGGCTACCAGGGGGGGGTGCTCCCGCCCCCGCCTCCGTCTTAGAGGATGAAACAGATGCCGATGCGGCTGCCCATCCCCTGTCGCTATGGCCGGATTCGCCTCGGAGTCCTGGCCGGAACTCTCCCCAGGAGAGGTCCGGCCAGGAGAGGTGAGCAGCAGTATCGATACCTTTCTTTTTAGGGGTGTCCAGAGAAGGGGATATATGGGAGGGTGGATAGCATTGCGAGGGCAGTGATATCTCTCTGGATTTCATGACCGCCTCGTCTTCTTTCAACACGTTCCCTTGTCACCCCTGCGTCCGCGCACATGCTTCCGGCCATGATTTGCAAACCCCCCTTTCTGGACGCCCCCTTTGTGGAAGCCGCCGGTTTTTGTCGCCCCCCCTCGATAGGCCGCGCTGGAGCTGGCCCTGGAGCAGCAGGTGGAGCACAGCCGCCGAAAGTTTGCCGCCGGGCTGGACGAGAGCTCGCAGGCGGCGCCCAGCCCAGGGTTGGCGGGCATTGGAGGGAGGGCTTCAGGTTCCCCAAGCAGTGCTTCTTGAGAGAGTTCCTTTGCACTCTTCTGTGACTGGATGGGTTCCCTGGGTTCTCGCCGCGTTGGCGCCCGTGCCCGCTCGTGGGTTCCCCGTAGGCTCCCCGCTGCGCGCGCGCCGAGCGGGTTTCTCGAGGACTCGCCTTGTGGGCGCCCCCGTTGGCCCGCTCGTGGGCGCGCCCGTGGGCGCCTCGTGCGCTTGCGCCGCGCAGCTTGCACAGCATAGCTTCCGAGGGTGTGGCTCGACGGTCCAGGGGAATCGAGGAGCGAGGGGGGGATCGAGGGCCTTCGAGCCCTCCTCCTCCTCCTCCTCCTCCTTCCCTCTCGTCCTCCTCTGCTTCTGCGTTGGCGCGCCGGCGGCGCCGGCGAAGGCGTTCAAGGTTGGAGGTTGACGCAGATGCATCGAGAGACGGGGTAACGTCACTGGACCAGACGGATTTCAATCTTGAACGATCGGGGCCGCGATCGATTCAAGGTTGAACGATTGACGCGGCGTCTAAAACCTTTGCGCGCCAACGCCGCTCGAACCTACCGTACCACATAGCTTGCAGCGCATAGTTCGCACCACTGACCTCACACCACATCGTTTACAGCGTATAGTATGCCACATAGTTTGCACGCATTTTCCCACCGCATAGCTCACACCACTCTCGTTTGTTGCCGTCATAGAGGTTTTGTTGTGGGGAGTTCCCGGGTTGCCCAGCCGATGCTGGGGGGCGTCGTTGTTGTAAGATCGAGTGCGGTCCGAAGGTCCCGCGCGTCGAGACGTTCTCGAAACCTTACGCTGAGCGGGCCCGTTTCGCTCGAGACATCTCTCCAAGTCAGTACTCCGAGATGGCCAGATCTGAGATAGTGTGGACGGTTTCGCTTGAGACATCCTCGCACTTTTGGGCGCCCAGACGTTGCGCGAGAGGTAGTCTGACCCATTTTGCCTGAAGCATCCTGGAAGCCTTGGAATTGGAGCTGCCGTGACCTGAGGTGGCCCCGCCCGTTTCTCTCGAGACATCCTCGCAATTCTGGGCTCGGAGATGCCGCCCGCGAGGTGATCTGGTCAAATTCGCCTGAGACACCCTCGCATTTTCTGGGTGCAGGGATACCGCGTGCGAGGTGTTCCGGTCAGTTTCGCATAAGACGTCCTCGCAATTCTGCGCAATTGCCGAGGAGGAGTGCGAAGAGAAGGAGGAAGAAGATGATGAGGAGGAATGCGGGGGAGGCGGAGGAGCGTAGGAGAGTGAGGAAGAGGAGGGGGAAGAGGAGGAGGAAGGATCATGCTCACAGTATAGTGCGACAAGTACTTGTGTTTTCGAGTCTTTCGGGACACTCATCGTCGCAAGGGCTGGACGCGGCTCGACCGTGCGTGCCTTGTGACACGGGCCAGTGCTCTGCCGACCAAGGGTGTCTCACGGGCCTGTTCGCGTCCAGATTGCGGGGGTTCGAACGGCCCGTTTGTTCTAGGAGGTGGGCGTGTGTGCTATCAGAGATGCATGGTCCTCACTGGCCATTTGCCATTTTTGTTTGTTGTGGGGTTGTTCTCGACCCCTCCAGGGCTTTCCTTAGTTGGCGGGGGGCAAGGGGGGGCAGGGCACCCGAGCCTGGGTGCCTGGGTCGCCGGGGGCAGCCCCGGGTGACCCTGGCAATCCAAACGGTGGTGCCGGGGAGTTGCCAGGAAGGGGTTGTCTTCAAAAGAGCTCGGTGCGCCGCAAGGCCCACCGAGGCGCTTGCCTGTTTCACTTCAGACATCCTAGGAACCTTTGGCTCCGAGATGCCTTGACTTGCGATGCTCAGGCCCGTTTCGCCTGAGGCATCTTCGCAGCTCTGGTTTCCAAGATGTGGTTCGCGAGGTGCTCAGGCCCATTTCGCTTGATACATCCTAGTCGCCCATGGCTCCGAGATGTCTTGACTTTCGGTGCTCTGGCCCGTTTCGTCTGAGCCCACGATTTTGCGTTCAACATGCAGTTCGCGAGGTACTAAGGCCCGTTTCGATGGAGGCATCCTCGGAACCCCTTCGAGATGCCCTGACTTGAGGTGCTCCGTCCCATTCCGCCTGAGACATCCTCCCAGCTCTGGGTTCCAAGATGTGGTTCTCGAGGTGCTCAGGCCCGTTTCGTCTGAGACATCCTCGGAACCCCAGGCTCCGAGATGCCCTGATTTGAGGCACTCTGAACCTTTTCGCCTGAGACATCTTGGGCTCCTAGGAACTCTGGCGCCGATGGCCAGGGCCGCGCGATATCGGGGGATGCCAGCCCATCCCCGGGAAGGCTCTTGGCGCGGGGCCGCGGTCGATGCAAGTACGTTGTCTGAGCAACGGCTTGTGCGAGCATATGCGGATGGACCGAGGCCTTCTGTTTTCAGGATTCTCGGGCATATGTTCGCAACCCAGGTGTTACGCTTCAAGGTGATATTGAGGGAGGTCTTGCTGGGGTTGTCCCGGGTGCCAGAGAAAGCAGGGATCAAGAGTCAGGTAACATAACAGACGATAGCCCACCATTTGTATACACATGTGTATACATGTATACACGTATAACCTATATGTATGTATGGCATCGCGTCGTTCAGACCATGTACCTCACACCACATAGTTTGCACAACAGTGCCTACACGTTGATGCTTACACCAGATAGCATGCACATCATATCTTGCACCACATAGTTCACACAACATAGCTTGCACACCATAGCTTACACCACACATACTACACAACATGGGTTGCACCCCATTGCTCGTACCGCGCAGCTCACACAGCATAGCTTTCACCACATAGCTTACACAACATGCAATCAACCTGCAGAGTGCACTTACTCACTGTGTTGGCTTCACTCTGGCTAACAGTTTCACACACATCAGCGACCAATGACCCAATTCAGATGGGCAGAAAGAACACATGTCGACAGTGACCCCTCCCTTCTTGGGATGGAGTCCCCTGCCGAGCAGCTGCCAATTCTTGCTCTTCTTCGGGCCCCCCAGAGAGGTTTGCATGCGGTCGAAATCTTTGCCATACGAACGCCGGAGGTTTGGAGCTGGCTAGGGAGCCGAGGTGGGGAATCATCGGTTTCAGCCGTTGAAGAGGAGGCACAGGTTTCGTACGATTCGATTGTGGGCAAGGGCTGGTGGGACTCGGGTGGGCGGGGCGCGGGGCCGACTCGGGGATCCATGGGGACCCTTGGGGCGACACAACTCTTCTTCAACCTGTTTCGCTCACACTTTTCGAGACCTCACGAGGGGTGAGCCTACAGTCAAGTTGCATAGCCAGGATGAGCAACTTTGCAAGGCTACCCCTGCATCCTAACGTTGGAAACCTACTCTTCCTCCGAATATGCGCGCGAGTGCAAGAGTCACGTCTCGAAAACCGCCCGCCCTTACTCCGTGAATCGCTCACAATGTTGAAGACGGATGTGCGCGTCGGTAAGGTGAGTGCCACCTTTTGAAAGCGACCCGCCCTCCATATGCGAAGTTGCTGCCAGCTCTGAAGCTTCATGATCATAACTTATGAGTAAGTGTCAGGCGACACGCCCAGGGATGCAGGGAGGAATTATGTATAAGGACAAGGACTGGAGGAGGAGGAGGATATTGAGAGTAACAAGAGTGATGATGGCGATGATGCTGCTGATGATGATGATGATGGTGATGATGATGATGATGATGATGATGAGCTGATG